AACATCGTCAACTAGGTGTGTGGCAAACGAGGGGTGCAATGCCTCTGTCTCACGGTATCTCAGTTGCAACTCGGGCGGGAGCGGAGGGCCATTGCTGGACTCCAGCAGCCGTCTGGGATGGATATTGATGATGACTATGACTCGGCCGTCCTGGAGGGCCGCATACCGATGGACATTTCCGCAGAGGGCGAGGTGCCCATGGCCTCGACACCGCTCGAAGTTAGTGAGATATATGCGGCCTATTTGGCAAAGCATGGGTGAGCCTTTTACTGTCTGTCTGCCAGCAAAGCCACTGACTTCTTTCTAGCCTCCGTACTCCAAGAAGAAATCGGCGCGGCCGCAATCAGCTGGTTGTTGACGGCTTTGAGCGGCAAATCGAGGAGATTGCGGATGCCTTCGAGCGCTGGGAACTTTTCGCGGAAGAACACGGACCAAATGCAACCTACACATTGCCTGAAGGGGCGGTGGTTCAGGCTGAGCGTACCACCTATGTGGTGGATCTATTTGGTGCGGGTGGCCTGCATTTCAGTCCCTTCCTTCGCTGAATCTGTGTCCCAGAAGAGCATTTTGTCGCGGTACCCTTTTGCGCGGGCGACAGCACAATTGCACCGACCCTCGTTCGACAGGGATTATTCCCTTGTACCCCATACTTCGCTACGGTGGTCTTCACTGCACGGACTCTGAATGCATTCCATTCCCTCCGTATGCGCTGCCCCCGGCTTGGAAAGCAGGCCTTTTTACGCGGACTTAACGACATGCACGGCATTGCACCGAGACCATACCTGCAGACGCAGTTCTCCGCTGCATACGACCTGTTCCTCCGAACCAAGGAGATAGTCCGGCTGAGGGTAGCGAGGGATCTGGGTAGGGATGGGCCTAACTGGCGACTGAAGAACGGCTGTCCTTGTTGTCATTATAAAGTGGAGGGCGAGGCCCCGCTTGACCCCCCATTCTTTCTCACAATGGACGGCAACAACTCGCTCAAGAGGGTGCAGAGAAGGGAATACAATGAGGGTCCCAATGGCAGTAAGTTGCCAGGCCCATCTATCGAGGCGATCGACACTCGAGTTGCTCCGCGAGATTACTACCTGCCCGCCGCGGAGGTTAATCGTTTTTCGAAGGAAAGCCTGCAAGAGGTGATCAGCGACTTCCTACCGGATCCCAAGTGGGCTTTGAAGGATAGCGGCTGTGGAGAGGATTGGCACAATATGAAGGAACATGTGGTCAAGCTAGCTCGGGGAATCTATCAAGAAACTGGGCTCTTTGCGGTGTTTTGTCGGCACTGCCTGTGCCATTCAATCTGCGATATGATACGAAGCGGCGAGCTGTCCGTTATTTGTGCTCTTCACCACTGGTCCACTAACTCCCTTCAGAGCTAAATACGGCTTAGCGGCAACCTATCATCTACTGTCTATTCTCGGCAAGTTCCGTCTGGGCTATGACATTGGCTGCAAGTTCGAGCAATGGGTCTATACACACCCCCTCTGTGGCCCTGTTGCTCAACTTCATGGGTTTGAGGCGGTTGTTGGGGCATTCCATGGGACAGGGCACAAGCGACTATGTCAATTACTCAAGATGCCCATTTATACCCGTGGGAGCGGTCTTGAGGGCTCAGAAAATGCAGAGAGCATTTTTTCGAAGTCTAATGCTCTAGCGGGGACCACACGTCATGCTTCCTCATTCCATCGTCAACAGGATATTGTGGAATACTTCGCACATGCAGATAACTTCGATGCCTTGGCAAATATCAGTACGTCAGCTAAGTTTTGATTAACAATTCTGACAGTCTGTGTTATAGCATCCCTGATTGATAGCAAGTATCGAGCTGCGCTGTCGATTCTTTCAATGAAAAGCCAACTCCGAGAGGCAATGGAGGTGCTGGGTCTGAATCCTTCAGACCGACATATATTCTCAGAGTGGCTATCGGACGAGACCAGGGCGCTTGAATCCCTGTCAAAGGAGCCACCTGAAGAGACATTGAAGATGGAGCTGTGGAGAAGGTTGGTGGATATGAATGATGCCGAGTGAGTGATTACTGGTTAAGCAAGAATTGAACTAAGGCATTGAAAGCGACAAGGTCAAGGAAATTATGGGTGCTGACATTGTGCTCATGCCGTCCGTCAATGATCCCGACTATGAGGGAGTGATGAAGCGGCTCCGAAGGAACGAAGCCGACCGTCGACGTGCACTAGACCGGCAGGAAAGATGCATCATATCTGTGGAGGATTTAGAGCGGAGGTTGGACATTGGGGCTGGTGAACGATGGATGCCAGGCACCGTGCAGTGGTTGGAGATAGAGGAGCTTGTTCGGGAGCATCAGTACCGAAAGTCTTTGGATAGACTGCAGGCATTAATTGTGTCCCGGATTCTGCAACTATCGAAGGCAAATATGGTGGAGACTGGTAAGTGGTCGGGTGTCAGAAGTCTCCATTAATGACCCTATATCACAGGTTATAAAATGCGTCGGCATATTGCACAGGCAATACAAGCTGGATCGCAGACGCTTCGAAGGGCTCTAGAAGCCTACAATTCAGCTGCCCAGGACCTGGGAGACCGGCCAATGCTTACATGGCTGGAAATATTCGACATGGAGATGCTAGATGATTTCGACCTCCTACGGCTTGCACGAGAAGATATTCGTGAGGCACCATGGGCTCAGCCTGGAGCTCGAACGGCAATGGACCTCAACTTTAAACTGGACAGGGCAGAAGAAGAGCGAAGGAGGCTGGACACTGAGATCAAGCGGTTTGTAACCTGGATGAAGGAGGAGAAGGAATTCCTCCGGCACCATGAAGAACGGCTGAAGAAGGAAGGAAATTTGGCAAGAGCCCTACAGGTTACAAAGTATCGGATGCTACAGGGAAGATTCTATGGCATTCACCAGCAAAGACTGCTCAAGTTGAGTAAACTGCCAGGGTTTACTGGTTCAATTGAGCCCGGGATCGGAGTTTGTCCAATTCGAAGGTCGGTGGTGGAAGAAGATAGTGGTCCAGAGAGGGAGCAGGATATAGACAGGGCATTGGCAGAGTCTGCAAGAGAGGAAAGGGTGACCAATGGAGGTGATGATGGAGATGCAGAGGAAGTTAATGATGAGAGTGATGATGAGGGGGAGGCCACGGACAGATTTGAGGCACTGCTAAGGGTAGCAGAGGATAAAGATGTAGAATAAGTTGTAGAGAGATATTGTCCACTAACATCATGGATAGTAAGCACAAGTGAGATAAGGTCCACTAACTCCCAGCCCCGGGAAGTTAGTGGACATCTGCTCAGTTGTATATTGGGTGATGTCCACTAACTTCCAGCCTCGGGAAGTTAGTGGACATCGACTTAGTTGGGATACTGCATTACGGTAAGACACAGTACCTGCCAATACTTCACCGTAGATACCATATGAAGCATATAAAAGGGTATACTGGCCACACTGACAGTATTGAATAGAGGTGATGTCCACTAACTCCCAGCCTAGGGAAGTTAGTGGACATCTCCTAAGTTGGGATACCACAGTAGGGTGAGGGATGGTACCTGTCAATACTTCACCGTAGATACCGTCTGAAGCATATAAAAGGGTATACTGGCCACAGTGATGATGTTGTATATTGGGTGATGTCCACTAACTCCCAGCCTAGGGAAGTTAGTGGACATCGACTTAGTTGGGATACTGCATTACGGTAAGACACAGTACCTGCCAATACTTCACCGTAGATACCATATGAAGCATATAAAAGGGTATACTGGCCACACTGATGATGTTGTATATTGGTGATGTCCACTAACTCCCAGCCTAGGGAAGTTAGTGGACATCTCCTCAGTTGGGATACCACAGTATGGTGAGGGATGATACCTGTCAATACTTCACCGTAGATACCATATGAAGCATATAAGAGGGTATACTGGCCACACTGATGATGTTGTATATTGGGTGGTGTCCACTAACTTCCAGCCAGGGGAAGTTAGTGGACATCGACTTAGTTGGGATACTGCATTACGGTAAGACACAGTACCTGCCAATACCTTACCGTAGATACCGTCTGAAGCATATAAGAGGGTATATCAGTCACACTGATGATGTTGTATATTGGGTGATGTCCACTAACTCCCAGCCTAGGGAAGTTAGTGGACATCTCCTCAGTTGGGATACCACAGTATGATGAGGGATGGTACCTGCCAATACTCCACCGTAGATACCGTCTGAAGCATATAAGAGGGTATATCAGTCACACTGATGATGTTGTATATGGGTGATGTCCACTAACTTCCAGCCTAGGGAAGTTAGTGGACATCTACTCAGTTGGGATACTGCAGTACAGTAAGACACAACATACCACATGAACCATGTAGCCCAACTCCCCTCCTACAGATCGTCAGCAGGGTGCACCTAATCTGCCCACTGATCTCCTCTAATTAGAGAGGGAAGAGGGAGGTGTCATAACATAATTCATATATAATATCTGTTACAGCTCATGCACATAATGCTCCTGTTCAGTTAAATGCAAGTGGTTACCCACTTCCTGGGGTTGTAAGTTAGTGGACAAATGTCTCATCACCAAATCAAACTGCCTATATCTCAACAACCATGGCACCTATTGACCTGGCACTTCTACCCATGTGAATTTCAAGGCAAACAGAGCAACTTTCGTTTTTTGATGCGCCATCATGGCGGGACAGTGAGCGGCACAAGCGGGCACATCGAGGTCAGCAATAATCAACCATTTGATGGGATGTGATGCGACTATGGACGACGGTGACCGACGCGTGTCAGACAACGATCACATCCTGTCATCAGTCACGCTCCCCAATGCTCAATGAGCCTACAGTCCACTAACTCACCTCTAAAACACCGTTGTCCACTAACATCTATAAGGAATTCTAAGGAATCATAGGCAATCGCAATAAACCCCTCTAGTTAGAGGCTAGACCCCCCCCCTTCCCTCTCTAATTAGAGGAGATCAGTGGGCAGATTAGGTGCGACTGCGCTCCTTCATCGCGCGTCAATCCCTGCTATGCTGCGCGTCGCCCGTCGTGTTCTCGTCTGGTAAGCTTCGCTAAAACTTACGAAGAGCGCTGAAGACCCTGCAGGATCGAGCCTTTCCTCTACTACAGTCTGAAGATAGGAATTCCCGGGCCCGCGGCTGGTGTTGAAGATAGTGCCGCCGAGTCCAGGTCTCTGCTAGTGCATGCAGCGCTAGCAAAGACCGACGTGTTACTCTGCAACCCCGTCCGTCATCTCGTCCTGGGCTTGCAGTTCGCGCTGCAGCTCGCGCAGATGACGGATGCCGACAAAAAGAAGCTGGGCAACATGACCAACGTCGTGTTTTTGGCCTTTGCTGGCATAACCGACGACCACGTCTTGCAGCTGATCTCCGCGATGCCCGTCCGACGCCTCGCCTGCAATTTGGAAGGCATCATCGGCCTGTCCAGCCTGGTCAACGATGACCCTCAAACGATAGCCGCCAGCCCCATCTTCCGCCGAGTCACCCATTTCGATGTCTTTGACGACGATTCAGAATCTACTTCGTACATGTTCGCCGTGCTCGCGCATCTCCCCGCGCTGACCCACCTTGCGATTTCGTATGAGCACGTCGACGAGGACGACCCGCAGAGCATGGACAATATCAAGGCGTTCCTCGCAGGGTGCCCGGCGCTGCAGATAATGGTGTGCCTCTCGCCGACAGGGGTCCTCGGTGACAACATAGAGCCGGTAGCCATGGACGAGGAGATTGACATCCGTTTCGTATCGTGTGGCTATACGGAATGGGACGAAGGTGTCTCTTATGACACGGTCACTTTCTGGGACAGAGCAGAGGCAGTTGTTGCCCGTAGACGAGCCCAAGCTGCTAGGGAGTCGCTGCATAATAATGTCATCTCTGGTGTTTGAGCTGCGGTGACTGCTTCTTAGAGTGGTGACACCAATTGCTAATAATTTGTTATGTGAACAGTTATAACTCCTTTGGAAAGATCACGATGGCTGACGAGGAGGTAGTCTGGATTGTATCTAATGAGCAGCTGCTTGCCTGGGTGCAGAACCCCGCTCCGGTGTCCCCACTTAATTCCATGCAGGCCCTCAAGCCTGAGTGCGCGGCGCGGTGATATCAATTGCTTTTCGGGCACGCGATATCATGGACTCGATATCGCGTAGGTGACCTCCATAACTTCACCAATAGCTCAGAATTCCGAAGTACGACGCCGTTATACGCTGCCATTTGCACACCCCCGACCGACGACGAGCTGGTCGCCGGTATCCCGATCGAGAGCGCGTTGCGCAGAACTATGCCCGGCCACCGCGTAGAGCGTTGAGCGAGGTGCTACAGATTCACGGGATGTACTATCCGCGTTGTACTCCAGCAAATCAATGAATCCGACCCTGATGCAAAGGTCCGGCCCGGGGCTTATCATCGGTCCGCCGGGCCGGGTGTGACGTCAAGCCGCGAATCACTCATGTCGACACCAGTCCAATCCCGACAGGCGTCAAAGCCCACCAATGAGGAGGACTGGACGCGATCCGACGCGTACCACAATTCCTTCCTCCACGAGCCCGATGCTGTCCTTGACTGGATCGTGAAGAATAGCAAGGAGAAAGGCTTACCCGACATTGCCGTGAGCGCCGCGCAGGGGAAGCTGTTGAATCTGCTCGCGAGGAGTATCAATGCGAAGCGTGTGCTCGAGGTCGGCACGCTTGGCGGGTGAGGTTCTTTCTCTCTTCACCCTTTGCTAAACTATCGAAATCATCGATATCCCTCATCGTGATCTGCATTATTGATGTTCAGGTCCAAGTCCGCGGAGGCTTGGACAACTGTGCTGATATTCACTTGCCAGGTACTCCACTGTTTGGCTCGCCCGTGCGCTCCCGCCCGATGGCAAGATCATCACCCTCGAAATCAACGCGCACCATGCCGCGGTCGCCACTGAGAACCTCGCGCATGCGGATGTTGCGGACAAGGTCGAGCTGATCCTCGGGCCGGCGCTCGATTCGCTCCTGCATCTCTCGTCGGAGCCCGTACCGTTCGACTTCGTCTTCATCGATGCCGACAAGCAGGGCAACCTAGACTACTTCAAGCAGGCGAAGCGGCTCGTGAGAACCGGTGGAGTCATCGTGAGTTCACGGCCCCAGTCAATTTATATTTGCTAGCATTCATCCCAGATTGTGGACAATGTTGTCCGCTATGGACGCGTCGCGGACCCGGAATACAGCGACGCAAACGTGGAGGGCGTTCGCACCCTGCTTGCCGGCCTCAAGGGTGATGACGAGGTTGACGCGACGACCACCGGGACGGTTGGCGACAAGGGATACGACGGGTTCTTGTATGCTATCAGGAAATGATGGCGCGATTCGATCGAACTTCAGGCACTTGAACGCCGCCGGCCCGGACGATCGTGAGCTTCGTGCATGCAACCGATGCAAGCCCAGGCTCGGGATAGGATCCCCCAGATGACCCACATATCCTTCCAACTCTGGAGCTAAGCAGCGTGAGAGTTTTCTCGGAGTGCTCAGCCCTCGGACGTGATTCTTCCGTCGAATTTCAAATGGGATGGAGTAGAGATAGGGCTAGAAGTCGGTTTGTAAGATCAAAGTTGTGTCATCAAACGATTCCGCCGCGGCGGTTGAGCTCTGCGCAGCTCCTGAAGGACATGGCTCAACTGAGAGATCTTCATAACCACTCGTAAACCGCGTGTCGTCTCGAGCATCCTGGTTTATAGCGTCTCCCCGACATCCCCACATCTTCTTCGTGATGGCCGTAGATCTCCGTCCATTCTGAAACCCGGCTCTGTGCCGTTCGCGCTTAGATCCCATCAACGTCTGATCAGCGGCCAAGTAAGTGCTTGTTGCGCGCAGAGGCTTCACGTCCAAGTCAAGTCATATGTTTTGCATGGCATTCTATGCAACGATGACTTCACTCCCGCGACAATGCGCTTATCGCGTTCCTCAATTCTGTGCTTCGAGCAATCTCAAAATAGAAGATGCATCGTCGGCTTGGTTTCCACGGAGACGAACAAGCAGCGACGAACACCGCTTCATTTTTCATTTCACGTGAGCTCAGCCGCGGGAAGGCGACTGGTGGAAATACGCCTAAAATACGCACAGTGTGAATGCGGAAGAGTCAGAGCGACCAAAGAATTTCAACTAGGGGATGGGCTACCAACGGGCTACACTGCTTGCCCCGCATATGATTCAGATGTCGCCAGATATATTTCGCGGAGGCACTCCATCGTCTTTCATTGTCAACTGTCGAACTTAATTGCTGACAGAAGATCTGTACAATATGGTCCTCGGGATCAGCGCTCGGCTGCCTCGGCATTGCGGCGGTACGGCATACCGGATGACAGCTCCGCCCCGCTCGTGGTCTTTTTGGCGTCCTGATTGGCTGCCGATTTTTATCCTTTTTTCACTTCTCAGACGCTGATGCCTGCCCTGGATTAGCACCGCGCCTCGTCACATACCCAGGACTGTACTTCAAGATGCCAGCGGTGGGAGAACGGACCTCTCCTTTCTCTTTTCTTCTCCCCACTCGCTTTCTCTGCCCTCCGCGTTGCCAGGCGCGGTACCTTCAGCAGCGGCCGTCCCGCTGTGGATGGCGGACCCGAGCTCGGACCCGGATGCCCATATCGCGACCACACTGGGTGCGCTGCTCGTCGGCGGCTGCGTGGGCCTTATGTGCGTCGCTTTCCTCTATTATTGTTTCTGTGCTGACGTAGCCATAGGCTGAGCGGTGTCCTCGCCGTCCAATCCATCATCTTCTACAAGCTCTACCCCTCCGACATCCGCCTCCCGCAAGGTCATGGTGCTCGTCGTGTGGATTCTCGACCTCCTCCACTCTGTATTCATCGTCGCCGCGCTCTTTAACTACCTCATCACCTTCTTCGGCGACCGAGGGAGAATCGACCACATTCCCTGGTGCGCCGCGCGTATGCCGTTCTGCGAGAGGAATTGACTGTTTTCTAGGTCGGTAGCACTCAGCGTAGTGGTTACTGCCGCGCAGACACTTATCGTGCACTGGTATTATGCGCACAAGATATGGACCTCGAGCGGACGGAACTGGTGGATAACCGCCCCGATTGTGGTGCTGGCATTTGGGAGGCTGTTGGCTGCATCAGGTGCGTGTCTTGCTGCGGCGCGTCCAGACTCTGACCAACGCAAATAGTCTCGACGTCTGAGATGATCAGGCGCCCCAACTACTCCAACTTCAACAAACACTTTCCCGGCTGGGTCTTCACCACCGGGCTAACGCTCTCCGCGTCTGTCGACGTCCTTATCACGGCGCTGCTGTGCTATTATCTGCGGAGCATGGGCAGAAGAACGAGCAGCACGTTGTGCGTCATTCCTTGCGTTGCCTAACTCGGCTCATTTATCGGCCTAGAATAAACCGTGTTGTTCGAACGATGATGTTTTACACGCTGGAGAATGGACTGATCACCTGGTATGTCGGTTGTCTGCTTCTAGTTGATAACATCTCATCTGTCTACCTTAGTCTCGCCGCGACGGCCTCCCTGATATGCGTGCGTGTTTGTTTTTCCACTGTCTCCTTGTTGTCTCCTCGGGCCGCGATCCATCTCGTGTCTGCCACCGTCCGTTCCTATTTCGGAGACGCGGCAGCAATGCTGTATGCATAGCAAATTGCTTCCTGTGTCCTCGCCAGACAGCTGGCAAATGTGACAGTCGACATGGGCGCTATGATGGACTCACCCGAGTGGATGTCTGTACCGGGAGCTGACGCATGATTTTGTTCGCAGTGGCTTACGATGCCGACCAACTTGATTTTCATGGGCTTGCACTTTGTCATCGGGAAACGTACGTGTGGTCAAACTTTGATTATCGAATTATCGAACTTACCTTGCCAACTAGTGTATGCCAACTCCCTTCTCGTATCGCTCAACACGCGGCAAGAGCTGCGCAACATGCACTTCTTCGCTGGGGACAAGGAGAGCAATAATACTCTCCACGCGAGCATGTGGCCTATCGTGGGCGGGAACAGCGGAAGCGCGGCTAGCGGTAGCGTCGGTGTAACTTCGCCGGTCGGTGGATACGGAGCATACAGCACCGGTACCACTTCTTACGCCTACGGAGTTGTCTCGACAGGATATGGGGATGTCAATATGACGGTAAGTTTCTTTCTGGTCATCAAGCTCCCATTATCTGGTTGCTCATGTCCTGTCCAGACCCCAGCCTCCGCCTACCGGCCCGCATTCAAAGTGCCCGTCTCGCCGCCCGCGCGGGCCCACGGCTCGTCCAACGAGATCGGAGTGCGGGTCACGCGGACCGTCCGGCGCGCCTCGGACGATCTCAGCGTCAGCGATATCTCGCGAGACGAGTACCCCGACGCGGCGCATGTCGGCGTTGCCGGGCGGAGAAATCAGTTCGGAGCCGCGGTCCATGCGCGGCGCAGTCGGGAGCGCGAGCACCATCAGTTGACCAGTGCCTTGCCGTAGCGCTTTCTGGGGGCGAGGTGGTTCTTGCTTATATGCCGGAATCTGGCCACGGATGGGCTATCTTCCGGTCTGCCTTTGTGGATATTCACGCCAGCCCCATGCTGGATAGACTTTACCAGTCTTCCGAGGGGACCGGACCCGCGGTCTTGGCTGCTCTTACAGTCGGCGACAGCCTTCATTCCTATCTCTCCCATCGTTGGCATTTGGAATACTTTCTGCGGATTGTCTTCTGTGACGCCGTATACTGCGGCGTCCCATACTCACTCGTCCGAGGATAATCCTCATTATATATACTCTCATTTGTACTACTTGTTCGTCGCATTGCCACAACTGTTAACGACTACTTATCGTTATACATACCACTTCGTTACCAATTGAATGTTGGTTTATCTGTACTGACTGACTGACCGTTCCATTATAATACTAGTAATGTTATTGTTTCAATCGGTCTCATGAGCAGCAGTCACCGCAGTTCAAACACCAGAGATGACATTATTATCCGGCGTCTTACTAGCAGCTAGGGCTCGTCTACGGGCAACAACTGCCTCCGCTTTGTCCCAGAAAGTTATCGTGTCATATGAGACACCTTCGTACCACTCCGTATAGCCACGCGATACGAAACGGATGTCAATCTCCTCGTCCATGGCTACCGGCTCTATGTTGGCACCCAGGATCCCTGTCGGCGACAGGCACACCAGTATCTGCAGCGCCGGGCACTCTGCAAGGAATGCCTTGATATTGTCCGTGCTCTGCGGGTCGTCCTCGTCGACGTGCTCAGACGAAATCGCAAGGTGGGTCAGCGCGGGGAGATGCGCGAGGACGGCGAAGACGGCCTCGGCGAATCTCGAGTCATCGTCAAAGACATCGAAATGGGTGACTCGGCGGAAGATGGGGATGGCGGCTATGGTTTGAGGGTCACCGCGGACCAGGCCGGACCGGCCGATGATATCCTCCACATAGCAGGCGAGGCGCCGAACTGGCATGGCAGAGATTAGCTGCAGGAATTCGGCGGCGTGGTCCTCGCTGACGCCGGCAATGGCCAGAAACTCCACGTTGGTCATGCTGCTCAGCTTGGTTTTCTCGGCATCCGGCATCTGCGCTAGCTGTTGTGCGAACTGCGAGCCCAGAACGAGATGGCGGACGCTGTCGCGGAGGAACACGTCGGTTTTTGCTAACGCTGCATGCAGAGAGCCGGACTCGGCGGCGCTATCTTCAACACCAGCCCGGGCAGGCTTGGGAATTCCTATCTTCAGACTGTAGTAGAGGAAAGGCTCGATCCTGCCGGGTCTTCAGCGCTCTTCATGAGGTTCAGGGAAGCTTACCAGACGAGAACACGACGAGCGACGAGCAGCATGGCAGGGATCGACGCGCGATGAACGAGCGCAGTCGTCTCGAAAATTTCCCTTTCGAGTTCGGGTGGGAGTCGCGCGTCCATAAGTCCGGAGGCTGGGAAGGTTGCCTGTGGATAGTAGGTAGCCACGACACAGTTGCTGTCAGTATTGACTTAGAGATGCTGGTGAAAGTTTGTTGAAAGTTTGATCGAGAGATCAGTCCGAGTCACAGTGTCACAGGATGATGTCACATCCAGCCCTTTTCACTCTGCTTCCACTCATAGGTTTCCGCGAGTACTTGAGTACCCCAAATCCAGTGGTTGTGGATGCTTATGTTTTCCTGTGAAGACTTGAAGTCTGAAGGCTTACCGACACCTGACCTCCATCTAGTACCCACTACAAGACATGGATTCTCATATCACTTCTTCCCTTGGATCACTGCCTCTTGAACTGGAACGAGAGATCTTTGAGCTAGCCGCACGCTCAGACAGCACAACTATCCCTGCTCTCCGACTTGTTTCCCGCTACGTGGACGTGTGGTCAGATCCTCCCAGCAAAGGCGCAAGAGGACTACGCTGACGTTCTAACTTCTCAATAGGGTCGCGCCTCTCCGTTTCTGGGTCGTGCGTCTCAACAACAAGCGCGCTGCTTCAGCGTTCATGGAAAACCTCCGGTCAAAACCCTCGTCCTACTTCAGGCAGCATGTGAAGCATCTTCTCGTGGAGTCAAACAGCGCGCAGTGGACACTGGCGGACGTCAGCGCAGTACTCAAAGTCTGCACCAACATCGACTCTTTCGGGACCACCTTCAACTTCAATACGCCTGAGATACTCGAGCTGCTGTCACCGCTGCGGGTCCGCCACCTCACAGTCGACCTGGGTGCGCTCTTCGGGCCGGGAAACCCCATAGACGGCCTCCATCCGGCGTTTGCCCGCGTCACTCATATCAGCCTGCACGATGGCATTGACGATGGCGACGGCGCAGACGACGCTCTTCTCGATTGTCTCAGAGTATGTGACGGGCTGCGGCTTCTGCCTGCGCTCACGCATATCCGACTGCCTGTGTCCAAACTCTCCGCCTGCAAAACTGTCCAGGATCGCCTTCTGGGGATAGACGACGAGGTACACTCCCGCATTCAACTCGTCCTCCTGGTGGAATATCACGAGCCTGGGGGCGAGATTATGCCAGAGATCCCGGAGGAACTGGACCCCAGGATCGTACTCTCTTTGGTGGACCATGCATACGACGAGTTTTGGGCTGATTGGGAGCGGAATGCGCGAGGCGGGCGAAATATGTGGACGGAGGCAGAGGAGTTGGTTGCCAATAGATTAAGTGAGTTGAATTGGGCATTTGCGAATTCTCGTCATGAGCAATTTCAGAAAACAAATAATGATGTACAGGACGACTGGGCATTAAATAATGGAACACTTGATATATGAAGAATTGTGCAGCAAGTAGCGCAAATCCTTATTTCGCGATGGTGGTGTCCAGTAGACAGATAAAACACGACTCGGAATAAATAGTCGAGGAGCCTGAAAGGAATTTCTGCTTGGATCCAGTTACTGAGTGTCCTTTGTTGGCCAGTAGCGCTGCTTCAAGTTTTCGAAAAGCCGACCGGAGAAGTAAGTACCTGAGTACCACTTACATCGTCCTTCTACCAGTGAGCTTGCGCCCGCCTCTGGGCAACGAGTTCTTCCGCCCTGTCCCAGTAGTTCTGACCATCCAAGCTTTGAGTAGCGCCCTCAAACCATCGATTGTAAATCAATGGCACAAGGCGAATATCGATGGCGACAAAACGGGCCAGATCTCGCTCGAGGAAACGACGGTCGGGGTTTCTAAGACACACGAGAACCTGCAGTTTGGGGCAGCCAGCGAGTAGGTCCCGGACGCGCCATTGCTGCGCGAATTGGGCGTTGTCGTGGGATAGCGCGAGATGGGTGAGTGCGGGGAGCTGCATGAGAACGGTGCGGATAGCCGAATAGTTCACCGATTGGCCTTCGTCGAAGACGTCGAAATGAGTGAGGCGGCGGAAGATGGGCAGGGCAGAAAGCGTCCTAGAATCGTATTTGTTGAGCGCCGCGCCGCTCATGATGTCCTCCGCATAGCAGGCGAGGCGGAGAAGCGGCATATTTTCCAAAACTGAAAATAGGTATCCCCTCGCTGCAGCTGTCGTCGCCTCCGACGCGTCGGTTTTCCCTGCAATCGCGACGTAGACTACGTTGCGCATACTGGCCAGCTTTTCTCTGTGGTTTTCACCTATCGTGAGTAGATGATACACAAAGGATGGGCCGAGAATAAGATAGCGGACGGCATGGTAGAGGAATTCATCTGTCTTCGCCAACACCGTCTGTAGTCGCTGGGCTTCGGGTTCATCGTTGGAGGAAGACATGCCCAGCTCGAGATTCCGGTAGAGGAACGGCTCTATCCTGAAGACTTTCAGCTCTCAGACCTTTGCAGATGATCATTCAAGTAGTCACCATGTCAGGACACGACGAGCCACACGCAGCATGAGCGGGATGGACTTGTGGTGGAGGAGGGCTGCAGTTTCGAAGATTTCTCTCTCAAGCTCGGGTGGCAGTCGAGGGTCAAGAATTGAGCTGGCGGCGAGGAGCAAGGTCTGGCGATTGTGTCTGTAGATTGCATTAGCAAACGAGGTTACTTAAGTCAAATGTGCCAAAACGTTGTGACATCAACCTTTTTTCTCCGCTCATCTTCAGCATCCTGGTTTCTTCCGCCACAAAGCACGAGACGAGTCGCTCAACCAGGGAGTAGAGGTTGGGCGGTATAGAGGGAGGCAAGGAAGCGCCAGGCATGTTCTGCTTCCGCGCCTGGTGACTTCAATTGATTTTCAAGATGGGGTCGGCGGCCCGAACATCTTCTCCCGACCCAACGACCCATGGCGGCACCTCACGAACTCGCTGGCACAAATGCCGTTCCAACAGAAGAACAGGCCATAGCCATCCGACAAACGCTATTTTCCGCCAAACAACATATCCAATCGCTGCAAGATGAGCTTGCCAACCTGACGGCCCAGCTTGCTCACGCGTGCAAGCACCGTGACGAGCTCGAAGCCCCCATTCGCGAGCACCAAGCACTGACGTCCGCCGCCCGCCGGTTGCCCGACGTCGTTCTCCGTGCCATATTTATCTCCACCCTCCCCACTCACCGGAACGCGTCATTTGCATCTGACGAGGGACCATATCTGCTTTGCCGCGTATCGAGGCGCTGGAGGGCCCTCGCCATGGATACTCCGTGTTTGTGGGCATCGATGCATGTCGTGATTCCCCGCGCAGAGGCTTTCTTGCCAATGATAGACACTCTTCGTCTATGGCTCAGCAGGTCCACCATAGACCCACTTTCAGTCTCTGTCTGCTTTCCAAAAGCAGTCAGGACACGTTCCCCTCTAGTTACATCCCTACTCGCCATCTTGGTCGGCCATGCACCAAGATGGCAGAAGATGCGGGTAGTCGTGTACGAGAAAGCGGATGTTGATGCCCTCACCCAGCTCACTGCAACGGATCTCCCCATCCTCCAAGACTTCGACATTACAATACAACACGGGATATCGATTCCCTCCATAGAAATCCCATTCGCATTTCTCCGGACCCCGTCCCTACGCCGATTGACTATTTCTCAATTGCCTCAGCCAGACGATGTGCTCTGGGGGCGGCTCGTTCATCTTGAGTTCCATGCCAGCATCAGCAACCTCATCCACTTCTCGCTCTACGCGGTGCGCAAGTGCCACCAGCTAGAATTCTTGAAGCTGACGATCCAGGGCTGGACTTGGCCAAGGGATGCTCCTTCCGACATGGACTTTGAACCCATTCGCTTGCCGCTGCTGTCCGAGTTCCGGATCTTGTTCAGCGACAGCCTCATTGTCGGGCGGACGCTGGAAAAATGCGAGTTCCCCAGCTTGCACCGCCTGAGTGTGCAGTCGCGGTGGCCGCAGCTTATCATCGGCGATCTCGGGCTGCCACAGCTCAGCGCGGCAAGTCCCGGGCTGAAAAGTCTTGAGCTTACGGCGGAGGGCATGCAGCGGGGGGCCCTAGAGGCGGCGCTGCATGCGCTTCCCCAGCTGGAAGAGCTGACGCTCTCGGGCGAGCCGCTATATCCACCGACGACGCCACAGGGCGCCTGGACACGTGACCTAGGATTCTTCGATGCCCTTGCGTCTCCCGCGCTTTGTGCAGCCCTCCGCAAATTGGTGCTGCGCGACATCCGCCGTGCCTCAGATGCGCAGCTCCTCGCCGTCGTCCGCGCTCGCTGTCGCGGCCGCCTCCGCGAGTTTCGATGTCAGCTGCAGCGGCCGCTGGGAGTTGACTTGCGGGAGGAACTGCGAAAGGAGATTGCCCGCGGGCTGCAGCTGAAGGTGGAGGTGCTGAGAGATGCGCAGCTGAAGGTGTATACGCCGTTGGAGCGGACGGAGAGGGCCCCGATGTGGCCTCATTGGAGCGACGACGACGACGATTGATTCATGCTTAGATTGAACTTATTTACTTGGACTACTGGTATACGTATCTGGTCCGTCTCCACCGTTTGAGCAGTCATGTACTATTCGTACTACATAGTTGCATGTTGCACCTAAGTATCGTGCTAAGTACTATGTAGTAGCCTGATCTTAGTCAGCAGATTCTGACTGTTCATCCAACCCTTGTTTGAAAGAGGCACCAACTAGTGACAGGCATAGGCCTGTCGGTGCTCGTCGCAAGCGGGTCGACTTTTATAATTAGATGAGCGTCGACTTGCGATCCGTCAGGATCCTATAGGAATACGAGCCTCATTACGATGAATAAGTAGTAGTGCAGATTGCTTACCAGTACCGCAAGCATTTATCCACTATGTACTCTCTTGAGCTTAATTATTAATAAGCTTTAGTGAATCTACACTATTACTTGTGATAGAAATAGTCGGGAACTTGAGTGTGCGGCGCGAGCAGGGTCATCGACGAAAGCGTTGATCATGATGTGGTCCAGAACTGGAAGCTTGGATGTCCAGCAACTTATGCACGCCCACGTAGGTAATTCAGGCCGAACGGCATTCGAAAAGTTACGCATCGTGAATGTTATTGTTAGAATCATGCACATAACAACGCCGGTTCTACGCCTCCCCAACCCCCTTGATCTTGACCGGCAGCTTGAGCTTCGAAGTATCGTTTCGCCGCCAAAACTCCAGAAGGACCTCGGCAACACGCGTCGGGTCGTCCTATGAAACGTAGTCACGAGAGGCCATCTTAGACAAACAGCACAGCCTACCTCATGGAGCATGTGCCCAACGTTGCCGCCGCCGAGAACGTGCAGCTGGAACTTGCCCTGCATCTGCGCGATCATGAGCGGCTTATCGAGGCGGTCGGTCCCGGCGAGAAGGAGAAGACGCGCTGTGCGCGCTGCGAGGAACGTCATCGATAGGTCTTGGAACCAGGCTGGTGCAAAATCAGCTGGTGGACGAGATTGTACGGAAATGACGGACACATCCAATATGGCGCCGTTGAGCGCAAGGGTGTCCTCCATATCCAAGCGTGTGGCGCGGGTAGATTTGACGACGGAGCAGCTTCGACGATAGCTGGGACAGAAACGCGGGCCGAGTTATCGTTCCGGATTGTCTTCGTTTTCACACTACGTGGCTCGTCAAGCATCTTGAAGATAGCAAGATGATGACATACTGCCACTCGATAGCATCTTCGACAGAGTCAAATCCATCCGGACGGGCATTGAGTAGATTGTGCATGTGTGGTAACGCCTCGACCGCAGAACCCTCGACCACGTCCAGTACTGCGATTCCCAGAAGATGGAAGCCAGCGGCTTGTAGGCGGGGAGAAGAATGTGCGACAACCGCGCCGCCCATGCTGTGGCCAATGAGGAGGAGCGGCGGGGGCGGATTGGGGGAATGAGGAAAGACGGTCTGGACTATTGCCACAAAATCATCGACCAACGTTGCGATATCAAGTTCCACCGGTTCTGGGTCCGTTGTCGAGCGCGTTTTACCTGCCCCAGTCAGTCTAAGCCAGCGAGAAGTTTGCAGGCGCGCACCATGTCGCCTTGCATCTAATGCCAGAACACCCACTTCCCCTCGGGCCATTTCCACCACCTCTTTCGCAAAGCATGCGAAACTGAGCCCAGAGTAGCCTGCGCCATGGTGGCAAACAAAGACAGTCCCCCCGGCAAACTTCGGCGGCGTGTAGTAGGCCCTCACATCGAGTCCGCGTTCCGGAATCGCGACCTGTAGAGCTTCGGAGAAGTAAGATGATGCCGAGAGTGGCGCAAAGTCCGGGTTTGGCGGGCGTTTGGAGGGCTTTGGTCGTGTTCGCGGTCTTGAAATGTGTTAGTTTGGGAAGCGCTGACAACTTGAAAGGCACACGCTGCGGGTGGACCCATGCCGCTGCCTGGTAGCGAGCCGAGAGAGTCGTGGGCTTCCGTTTCCTCGTTGTCCTCATCTTCGTCGCCCATCGGAGGCAGATCAGCGGGTAGCTTGGCGAGGCGCGCAGCCATTGCCGAGCGGAGGAGATCCGACATGGGATCGCGTATTGAAGATGCAACGGGAAAGAGAGAGAGCGAGTCACGGTCACGGGCCCACTTTCCCGCTTCTTCTTACATCCCAATCCAAGATGTCGTTACGGCGCCCATGACTTTGAATCCGGATTCCGTTGCTGCAAGTGAGGAATGAAGGTTACCTTCCCTTCAAACATGACACTAAGACTCTTCAAGTTGACTCAAGTGACACAAACACACTTATTAGAGCTTGCTTACTAGTAGAGCCCGATCTGCCAATCTCTCCGACAAAGACAAAATAACTCTCATTCAAACAGTCAAGTATCGTACACGAGCAAGCATCTCAGTCATTCTCACAGGACACAAACCCATTCGTGGACGAAGCACCGGTGTGTGTAATTACCCTGTGGCCCCGAACACAAAAACGTCAATATCAAAATCAACTGGCCGATCTGACCACCTACGCGCAATACGTTCCAGCTGTGTTGAACACTACTCGATCGGCACCGGGAGAACCCCCGCTGTAGGTTCCGCCTTCGATGATTGGCCACTAATGAATGGGAAGAACATGGTGAGCTCAGGCTGTCGCCCGATCAGAATGGCTGTGGGTAGTACGACTCACCTCGAGCCAGGAACTACCCGAACAGAACAGCCGCAGCCCTTCGTCGTTGAAAAATTGATGAGGGTAAGAATCTGTCAAGACGACGGTGATAAGATAATGCTTTGGGCAGGAGTCGAGAATGCAAGGATACCAGATCCAATCGGACTGTTGCGATGGGCAAAGCCGGCGCTAGTCGCGCTGCTGACCTGGGAAACGGTGTAGACGTTGCGCCCGCAAGTCACGTCGCCAGAGGGAAGGGCACGGGGGATTGTAAGGCCGCTGAGGGCGGGTGCCGCAAATGCGCAAGTGGCCAAGAGCGCGGCGACTCCCAAAGCGTACATTGTGTCGGATGCTTCAGGGAGTTGGTAGTGCTTGACTGCACTTTATACTCACCGGACGACGGTCCAAGCATGTGCATGGTGCGTCCTACAGGACCGCGTGCTCGTTGGGGAAGAAGATTGGAAGCAGACCGTATCTCGGCACTTGTCTGGCGATCATTCGGCGGGGCCGGCGGGGGCAAAACCACGTGTGGCAGGCCATTGCCGCGGGCAAGTACTGGGAGTCCAGATAACGCACGTTGTGGCTACGCATGACTGAGATAGCGACGTTTGATTCGTCGCACAGACTAAAAATAGCCACGAAGAACTAAAATATCCATTAATGCGAGTTTGATGCGAGTCTAGTAGAATATTAATATCGATAGAGAAGTTGACTGCCGGGAGTTGGTTAGGGAAATCCGCTTAGGTGTAGAACGTCGTCAAGCGGCCTCTTGGCGGGTCGTACATAGTACTTCTGTATCTTTTCATGGTCGGCAAATCCTACAGCCATTCCAATAGCGACGATATCGTCCGCTGGGATATCAAAGTGCTTTCGGATAATCGCATCGTAGCGCGGTATGCTGAGCTGCAGGAGAACCTGAATGTCAGATCGATTTCAGACAGCAACTTGGTAACATACCATAGGGACGCATTCAAGCCCACGAGCTCGGACTCCCATTGTAATCCCTTGCACGAATGCGCTATAAACTCCAATGTGAATGGATTCTTGTAGCCACGATATTGCGGACACACACCCCAGGTCAAGCCACGCAGCTGCGTTAAGTTGCCGGTTTATCGTGAATATGAGCGCTACTGGGGCATCGAAGAAGGTACTGCGTCACAGTTCAAGCCTATCTCATGATCCAAAGAGAATACCCACAAATTACGGGCCTCGGCGGCATTCTTAGCTTCTGTGTCCCCTCTTCGCACACCTTGCGCTTCATAGAAGATATTTCGGAAGTCCCTTCGTCGGTCTTCGAAAGATTGTGGTATGTTCAGTGAGGCGCTGTCAAACTGGGCTGTCGAAGGAGTATGGCTCGCATGTGCTGCTAGCATTTCGGCGATTAGGTTATCCTTAGCTGTTCCAGACATTGCATAGACATTCCAAGGCCTGATGAAACGGATTAGTTGCGGTTCAGATCAAAGGCACCGAAACTGGGGACTGACTGTAGGTTGAACCCAGATGGGACACTGTTGGCCGCGTTGACGATGTCTTCGATGACTTCGCGCGGTATGGGGGTCGGGAGGTAGTAGCGTGCCGCAAAACGTTGAGTAAGGAGTCTATCCACCGTTGCTGCTGCGTTGCTTTCGGAGGATGAATCCATTTGTGAGGTAGTACTTAGTGTTGTTTCCGAAGTTGTTTTCTGAGCATGGGCTTTGGCGAGGCTTCGACTTTATACCTTGTTCGGGGCGGTATATCGTACTACCAGCCGCGCTGAGAGGATAAGTCATCGTAATGCATGAGCAAGATGTGTGTGTGTGCTTTGCAAGCCGGTTTCGAGTCGAATGAGCAATGACGTAGGCGATGATTTTGACCACAGACGTGGAAGCACTGAGTAATCCTCAATGGTTCAAAAATATCTACGAATACCACATGGGCATGGTTCAAAGGTCAGCCTCCGAAACGATACTCGACTCGAAATCCATACTCACCACAGAACTTGGAATTATTGCGAGGGCGGTAAAAGGGATTAACAATACCCATCCAACAAGGAGCCGTCATCCACACTGGACCTTGAAAGTGCATGTTGATTACTGAGTATATCCTGGCATCTCACGCATGCGCAGAACACTGGAGAACAAACACAAGAAAATGTGGTCAAAGAAAGGTTCATGAAAGTGAAAGTGTGACATCCAAATTTGGACCTGCCTTCCACCACTTGCCTCGCGTACCCTTTGCCAAACTACCCCCACGTCTCGAAGACACCTTCCTTTCCCACCACCTTCAGTGCTGTTTGTGTCGGGGTGCTATAGTTGCCATGAAGTTCAGGTATGCTTAGCGCTTGGAAAAACCGGTTACCCTGATTCATTCAACCTCAGTTCATCGCTAAAGTTCAACGCTGTCGCCGAATGGTGGGACGAGTACATAGCCTACGATGCACTCAAGAAGTACATATACCAGCTTGAGAAGACGCAGCACGAGCAGGGACACGGCGCCTACCGTGATGCTGAAGAGAGCACCGAGCGGACGTTGCTTGTCGACCGTACTGGCCCCGACACCAACTCCGTGTTCGTGCCACTGCTGGAGAAGGAGCTCAAGAAGATATGTGACTTCTATGAGATGCAGGAGAAGCATCTGGTGGAGGAGGTCGCGGAGCTGGAGGAGTTGGTTGGGCAGCAAGATTTGGTCGGGATGACGGGCGACCATTACGATGAGGCATCTGCGCTATATGACGACGATGACGACGACGAAGGGGATGACGATAGCTTGTCGCACAGTCCGTTACCGAATCGAAGGAAACGGGTCGGGTCAACGTCTATGGGGAGAAAAGCTGCTTTATCCGACTCAAGTGTGTTGCCCTCGCTTCTGTCTCTTGATCCCCAATTTGACGATTTCTCGCCCGGACCTAGCTCCACGTTTACACCGCAGGAGTATTTCCTCCTCATCCTCCGAGGGCCAAAATGAGCATTCTCATTCACCTATCAGTCCAACTGTACCCACCACCACTCTTGGACGGCTCGCAAACAAACTTACGCCCGACTTCATGCGAAGCAGCATCACATCCTCAGCAGGAGAGAACGTCTGGACATCCAAATCCGACTACGCTTATGATACACGGTTACTCTTCAAACGCCGCATTACTACCCTCTATATCTCCGTCACTTCCCTCAGGTCGTATGTCGAGGTCAATCGTTCAGGCTTTCGAAAGATCCTCAAGAAGTAAGCTTTAGCTGACGCTTTTTGCCCTGCTAACATTACAGTTTAGGTACGACAAGGTTACCGTCCATGAGGTACATTTTTATCTTTCACAAAACTTTTCTAATTTGTACATCTACAGCTCAAGGAAGACTACATGCACAACTCGGTCGAACCTTCGCAGCCCTTCACGACTGGAGCCCGTTCGACACTTAACAGTCTCATAAATCGTCTGGTCGATCTGTATGCCAAATGCGTTACACGAAGCGACCGAGGACTTGCGAAGCAACAGCTTCGACTCCACCAGCGGGAGAACATTGCCTGGGAGCGAGATACGGTCTGGAGACAGATGATTGGAAGAGAACGGAGAGGCGAGGGTAGCAGTGGCGGTCTCGCTGGCGCTGTTATTGTCGAGGAACCGATGGAAGATGTGGATATGGGGGTAGGAAAAGGGAAGCCTGGTTGGGTCGTAACGCTCGGACCAAGGACAAGGATACGCGTGACGAAGAAGAAGATCGCATTGGTGGGGGCGATTGCCCTTTTTATTGCCCTCCTTAACCACGATACGGTGGAAGGTACAGAGGCGAATAGGTGCTATGCCATTCTGATGTTTTGTACCGTCCTGTGGGCAACCGAGGTGCGCCTGTCTTTTTTTAAATGTTTGACGACAGCTAAAGAAAATCATAGGCTATACCGCTGTTCGTGACTTCCCTCATGGTACCATTCCTACTCGTCGTTTTCGGTGTCATTCGGAACGACGAAGGTATTCCCCTCAAGAAACCCGACGCGACCAAGTTCGTGTTCAATACCTTTCGTATTACTCTCTCGTTTACCCTTCATTCTTGCAGATATATCTTCTCCATCATGTTTTCGCCCACCATAATGCTGCTTATTGGCGGCTTCACCATCTCTTCTGCACTCTCCAAGACAGCCATAGACCGGGTTCTGATTACGCGTGTTCTTTCCCTTGCAGGAACGCGTCCAAGCACAGTCTTACTCGCTTTTATGGGTGTTTCGTGTTTCGCGAGTATGTGGATCAGCAATGTGGCAGCACCGACTTTATGCTTCACCCTAATACGACCGATTCTGCGGACCTTGCCCCCGAAATCGTCGTTTGGGCCTTGCCTAATTGTGAGTGTCTCTAACATACTTCGTAACACTTGCTGACTTCATTTCCAGCTCGCTATTGCCCTGGCTGCGAATATCGGTGGCCAGTCTTCGCCTATTTCCTCTCCACAAAACCTTATCGCCCTTGATGCCATGGACCCTCCAATCTCCTGGGGTGGCTGGTTTATCGTCGCACTCCCGGTCTCCATCGTATCTATTCTCCTAATTTGGGGCTTGCTCCTCGCCTCATACCGGCCTGCTCGTGCCCCCGATGGAGGACCTGATATCGAGATTAAACTTATCCGGCCAACGAAGGAGTCCTTTTCCTGGAAACAATATTGGGTGGTTCTTGTGTGTATTGTGACCATAGTATTATGGTGCATTGCGCGGAACGTGCAGGACTATTTGGGGGATATGGGGGTCATTGCATTGATTCCCATTGTAGCATTCTTTGCGACTGGTGTTCTCAAAAAGGTCGGCGAACGACTCATCTGCGTTTTCAGTCAAGCTGACGAAATCTTAGGACGACTTCGAGCAGTTCGCATGGACCATTGTTTTCCTCGCCATGGGCGGTATTGCCCTTGGGAAGGGGGTTACATCGAGCGGACTATTAGAGGTTCTAGACGTGCTTATTCGTGACCTTCTCGAGGACGTGTCGCTGTATAACGTTGTCTTGATTCTGTCACCAGTCGTCTTGGTGTGTTCGCTTCTTCTGGCTTACTCAGCGAGCTCATTTGTACCTATCTAGGTCATCTCCACATTCATCAGTCATACCATCGCAAGCGTGCTGTTGGTGCCTATTGCCAAGGAGGTCGGGACCAACCTGCCTGGTAATCATGCCAATCTCCTCATCTTCATCACCGGCCTCATATGCTCGGCCGGGATGGGTATGCCTGTTTCCGGATTCCCAAATCAGACGGCGTATGTCCCGTGGCCGCATCTATTGAATATGAATTCATATCTTCTTGCAGGGCCCAGCAGGAGGATGAATTGGGCCAGCTCTACTTAACCAATGTCGACTTTCTGAAGAACGGAGTCCCAGCGAGTATGATTGCGACTCTGGTATGTGTGCCCTGCTGACCTTTCCTCGCATATCCGCTTATGTTCTGGGTCTAGGTCGTCGCAACTATCGGCTTCTTACTTATGAAAGCCATCGGGTCCGTCTCTTTCTCCGTTTTCGTTAAACCTTGGCTGACATTTTTCGGAGGCTGTAATACCTGTACCTGACACGACATTCGATACTACAACAGACTAATAGAATCGACCTCGGGCAAGCAGGTGGAAAACGTTGGTAAAACGTTTGGTCGCGGACGGATCTACCTTGAACTTTCCTTATCATCATGGCCTATTTTCGGTTGACTGGGGAATCTTAGAAATGCTCTGAGCAAGCCTCCTGCCCAAACTCGCTGTGTTGTAAGCCACTGTACGAGAAACCGCTTCGACTTGCCCCCAACACAATCAGCCGATGCCCCATCCACTTTTGTGTGTCCAATGACCGTGTTGTGTCCATGAACTCCATGTTGTGTCCATGTGTCGCAACTTACGAGCCACCTTTCGGGCGCGTAGCTTGCCGATAACAGTTGCGGCCCTCATGTCATGCGCTGCTGGCTCCCGCGTTCGGTGATGACGAAGCGAACCCGCGAAAACCGCGCGCCCACATCTCTCAAGCTACTCGGTGTCAAGCTTGGCGGGATGGGCCCATTATTGCAAGAAGGGGAAAGCTTAGCCAGGTTCGGATCCTTTTGTCTCCACCAGCTGCCATTACTGTCTATTTGTCGAGGAGGCCAACGATGGGCAATGCGTACTGTGCCGTAAGAATTCAGAGCACAAGTGCAACGGCAAAACGGCTCGTTGGCACAACCATCGATGTGGACAAGAAAGATTGCCGCTCCTGCGCAGGAACACACACAACAGATACTTGGCCAAATCCAGCCAACTTCTTTTTTGGACATCTTCTCCTATTGACATCGGACTGCAAAACACCAAACTGGCTTTCAGGATGCTCTGACGTTGATTGCTCGCTGTTTCGCACGATGGTTCGCGGACCCGTAATGGCTTCTGCTTCGATCGTGCATTTGTTGCGAACTCTCTTCAAGTCAATAAATGGGGTGGCGACCGTTGGCCACCGAAGCTGTCTGCTTCTGAACGCCGATGGGTAGTCTACACACAAGTCAACAAAACGTGCTCAGGCTCATCGATATTGACATTGCCTGAGCAACCTTTTACTTCCGAGGATCAGGCAGATTCAGTTGTATTCCTTGGAAGGTCTCACATCTGACTACTCAAGCAGGTCTGTCCGTTTTTAATTCCAGTGGATCGTTCGCTAGCACACTTTTCAAGGTCCGGGAAAATAGGACAGGCGCTAATGCATACAAATTACATTTTCCGGCCCTCCGCGCGATGCTACGGTAATCACATTACATGTCCAGGAGATAAGCTAGGCTAATTGTGGGTACAAGATACAGATGCAGGGTGAGGAGGCGACAAGCAGCTCCATGCGGTCATATGACAGAACAAACATTGAGGGGTATCGAGATCCATGGTTTTGTGTGCAGAGAGAAGACGAAAGCGGCATGGTTGGCGGTGGGATGTGGACGAGCAAGGGCGGAACGAAATTTCACCAGGCGGACTTGGTGGTCGCGGGGCCATCCACCTCTTCATCATCGCACGAGTATCGCAAGGCAGATAGTCGGGCACCTGACTTGTCCGAATCGGGTCCGGGCCAGGTGCCCGCATTGGACTTTGTCTGGTGATGGGCTTTCAAGACCTCTAGCGGAACAAGGGAAGGGCGCCGTTGCTGGTGCTCTCCGTCGCTATCGGGAGAACGAGGAGTTATCGGGGAGGGTGCTCTTGAGCTCACGCTCGCGCTTGAATCCGACAACGAAGAGCGCGGATTGAGAGGTACCGCCAGTCGCAAAAACTGATGCTCACGCTCACGACCAGCCAACCCTGCAGGCGCAGGATGCGGTGGTAGAGGGAGCTGGCCGAGAGAGCGTCGATGAACTGGCGATACCGCAATATTTCCTGAAGAAGACAATGACGAGGGGGGTATTTGGAGGGAGGGCACTGAGTACACCCGTTTGACGCCGTGGTGCCCTTCTTCTGGACTTCGACTGCGCTTCGCTGTCCGATGGTCGTCCGCAACGTCGTCTACCTCCCCACGGAGTCGTTTCAAGACCGTTCGTGGATCATCGATTGGCGGAGGCAACCCTCCTCGAATATTTTCAAAGGCAGATATTGGAGGCAGCGTATATCCAGCGCCACTGGGATTGGTTCTAGGAGGCAATCGCTGCAGAGGAATATGAATCGACGCGATGCTTGCATTTGAGGCGGGGGATGGAGGCGCTGGTGTCAGTGGCGGCGAACGAGCGGAACTGGAATGTGAGCCTGACGGCCACAAGCTTGGGCTCGACAGCTTTCTCGAGGAGGTGGACAGCGGGTACGGCGAATACCTTGCTCCCGGACTGACGAAAGGGGATGGAGAGTTGGGCCCTGGCAAGCGCTCGCGCTCCTTCTCCCGATCTTGATACCAATCTGAAGCCGCGCTGGGCCTTGGGCTGGGCCACGAATGCTGCGAATGCGACTGCGAGACCGCTCGTGAATGCAGAGTATGGTTTTGATGGAGACGGGAGCCTTGCCCATACCCGTGTGGGTTTGGCTGTGGATGGGGCGGGAGAGGAAGTTGTTGGAGTGGGTGGTGGAGCTGGACGGGCGGCAACTGAGGCATCGAAAGGGCAAGTGGCTGGCCATGGCCGTGATGCTCGGAAGAGGAGTCAGCTCTCGTCGAAGATGACCCCGCTGTTGATTGGGCTTGTTGTCGCCGAGCTCGTCGTCGGGCGCCAGAAGAGGCGACGACCTGGCCATAGCCAGGCTGGTCAGGGGAGAGACAGGTGCTGGGGAAAGTTGGACTGGAGGGGAATGAGTGAAGACTATCTCAGGAGGGCACCCACATACCCAAAAAGTGGCACCAAATCCTCACGAATATTCCAAGCAACCCGTCTTGCAAGTCGCAACGCGACCTCGAACGGCATCCAAGTGCCTTGTATCTTGAGGTAACCACCACGGACACGTCGAATGACGCGCGCAAGCTCTGGCTGAGAGTCCACCATCTTGACAATGTCAGCTTTGGAGTTGCCGAGAGCTGCAAAGGCGATTAGACTAAACCCACGCCAGGGTTCCGTATGACGGACCTTTCCAAATGCCCGTCCACAGAACATATCCGTCGTCGATGTCCATCATAATCCATTGGTTGTTGAGCGGGTACTCATAGACAGGACTGCAGATGATGAGCGATGGAAGACGCGAGTTGCTTCGAAGACACACATATATCCTCGCGGGTCATTGCTGGTGATATACCGGCCCTTCGTGACCTGGTGTGTTGAGCTTGCAAATGGTCGAAAGCGCCCGTTAGCCTGCTCTGAAGTCGGGGATGCAGGCATGGGCACCGGGGTAGTGCCAGTTTCCTGCTCCAAAGTAAGCCACTACTAATGCAAAGCCATTGAGCGAGACGCACCTGGAAGATTGTGGTTGTCGTTGCTGTAGACGCCATTGGCCGTTGCAGACGCGGATCCCCGCCTCGAGTGGTGGTGTTTTGTTGGGGCGGAAGCGGCGGTGCTCAAAGCTACGAAGTACAGCACCGGAACGGACTGTGGGTGGCTCACAATGAAGTGGCGGGGGCGGGACAAAAAAGAAGGAGGAAAGAAAGGACACTCCCCGGAGCGCCTTCGTCAAATACGTCTCTCGGCCTCCGTACTCAATTCGAAAGGGCCTAGAATCTCTTGCGGAAATGTGTTTCTTTACTAAATTTGGCATGTGCGACTCGGAGACAATGTAGATCCCATCTTTGCCGTACGTGATGTGGACCGAATTTGGCAGATGGCGTGGCGTGTGCACTGCAGCGGCCCCGGTTAGGTTACAAAGACCGGTTCAGCCCGCCCTGAACTGCCCTCCTGCGGTGCTCGAGATTCGCCCTTCTCCTGTTCTTCTTCTTCGTCCTATATGCCTGGAATGCCTCCTCACGTGTGCGAGAACGGCCCAGCCAGGTGTGGGGGGACAACGATTTCCCCGGGGACGCCACGTTGCCCATATATTTCCATATTTGGTAGCATCTGTGTTTCTCCTCGATCACGGTGTTCCTTGAGAGATCCTCGATCATCTTGTGATCGAAGGCACCGAGGTCCGACCTAACGCATGCCGGCGCATCATCCATCTTTTCCGGCCCGTTCCTCGGTACCGAAGGAATTCAGCCTCGGGGGTGTTTCTATTCGCAGACGCCCAGCTGCGGGGAATAGAAGTCGTGGCCGTGACGAACTGGAATCAAGTATACATACGGACGCCACAGAGCTATGTCAGCCGTGGTGTCAGTGGATTGGTGGAGCAAGTTGGAACTTGTGTCGTTGCCGGTGCCAATATATCTCGTCAGCGCCGTTGATTTCGTACAAACCCAGTCGAAGCTGGTCGCTAATTTTCTAAAATAATATAAGTACCGACGCGTAATTTAGCTGGCACTATGGTCGGACTTGGTCGGATCGCAGTTTTACCAACCCTTTCCCCCTAAGCTTAGACGCAAAGGGTAGCAAGCCCACAACAATGAATGATTGAGCTCGAGCAACCGTCCCGGCGGCGTGGGATACAGTCGCTGCCAATCCCAACTTCTCGGATAATCTGTTTCTGCTCAGTCCTCCCACGTAGCAACGGCCATCTCACTCGAAGAGCAAGTGAGTGGAAGTCAAGTGGACGTGTGAGGTGGAGTTGGAGTGGAGCAGTGTCCAAAATAAGACAGGAAGACCAAAAGAAAGAAGACCGTAGCTCCCGCCGAATATAGCCACAGGATGCCACCCTCGATCCGGCCCGGTGTCGAATTTAGTGCGCTTCGACTCAGAGATTCGACCTAACTTTATCCTGGCTTGAATAAGAGAGATGTGTTGGAGAGGCTGTGAGTACACTTAGTATTTTGAGCGATGGCCCGCAACAACCAATACCAGACAGCCTCTGCGCAAACCACTCCGCTGAGCCTCTCTCCTCCCATCCTTGGCGGCAGACTAGGAAAAACTATAATCAGCGGAATCAATGACACCATGACGCTCGTCATACCATTCCTGATCGGGCTCAGGTACAACTCGTAAATTGAACGCGCTTTAGCCGCGGGGCCCAGAACGCGGCCACTCCTAGGTAAATCATCCCTAAAATTATTCGATGGAGATGCCTATTGAGCCTTTGGCCTAGAATTGCCTTCATATGCAGCACAGGAGGACTACAGCATATGTATTCGAGCAGACGATCGGGCCGAGATTACCCTACCATGATGACGTCGCGTGTGCGCAGTCGTCTGCCAAGTGATGGCGTGATACCCGCTGGCAGGGATGGCCGCGAAGCCCCGTTTTCCGGAGGCTGCCATCTCCAGCCATCGGCCCTTGTCTTGTCCCGACCACTTCGGTCCAGCGTTGGAAGAATACAGCAATTGGTAAGATGGATGCGTCGACGTCGTGTTGCGTCTAGCGCGAAGAAGGCTCCCGCTTGCCCCAAAATACGACGGACAGCTTGCATGTGGGTCCTTATTGGGTCCGTGCTAAGGTGAAATGCGCCTATCGAATCATCATTCGAAAATGTGTGGTCGCCCCTGGTGATTTGTTGGCTCTGCTGGTTAGCCGGGAAGGGAAGTAAAAAAAATCTTGAAAGCGACGCAAATTTACATCGGAGGACGGTGAATTGCCAAGGTGGAGGACACCCTGTTGCGGTATTTCTCATTTCTTGCTTATTGCAAAAGAAACCTACTTGCTCACCCGCCACTTCCAGTGACAGGGCAGCGCCTGGCAGCGCTTAAAAAACACGATCTGGCGATCGGCACGTCAATGATCGTCATGTCAGCCATCACCTTCCGAATTGGGAACGTAGACGGCAAGCCGCGGCTGGCCGTCCGAGCCATCGCCGGAAGCCGGACTCGGGCCATACCGGGAGTGACTGCATTCTAATATCTGAGTTTGGTTCCAAGCTCGAAGCTGCTTCGCATCCTACGGCGTTAGTTAAGACAGCTCGGGACCGAGCCCTTGGTTCTTCGACATACTGCGGTACGCACGGACGTCGATAATTGAATCCACCTTGGAGTTCTTCGGACCCGATGTTTGCCCATGTCGTATTTATACCGCGCAGAAGCATGGCACAAAAAATAGATATCTAAACAAAACGATAAGCATTGTTTGATCGTTTCGAGCAACGCTTTAGTTGCAAATTGCAGAAAAGCATTCAAATGCGGAAAGGATGATGTCCTCGGGCTCGACGTCACCGCTGCTCGTGAGTGCTCCGACTCCTCGACAATCAGACGTAAGTGCTGCAAAACTTGATTTCGGATTACTTACAATTACTTACCACGACTTCCAAAGCGAGACAGCGCGCCGGAATGTCGAGCGGGAATATCACGGTCCCCACTTTCCTTCATGGCCCAAGCACTCAGGCTTTGAAATGGTCGGATGAGAATCTCGATGTCCTACCAGAGTTGATGAGAAATTCATTGGTTGGTGTGGTTCCAATACCCGCCGCCACCCATACAAGAAAAGGAATTGTCAGGAACTGCATCAGAGTACCAATCCGGATGGCCGGAAAGTCCGAGCTTGGGTATGCGAGCCAGGTGCATGTTTAAATAGCGCTGTTCGCACTCCCGAGTCCCGAGCTGGTAGTGCAGTGTTAGTATCCGATCGCAGGACTCGGACAACATCCCGGCACTCACTGATCATATACTAGTACTAGGAGTGAATGACTTTCGCCGCGGCCAGGCGGCGGCTGGCTTGAGTCGTACCCAAGTTACCGTATCAGATCTCGAGTCCGCCATTTACGCCAGAAACCCGCCTTATCTCACTGGTGGTGGCGCGAAGACGGCGTACAGCTTTTACGATCGAGGGTGAGCTGACCCTAAAGCCCCCGAACACGCTCAGGCTCATGATGGTACACCTGGCAAGTGGACGTGGGGCAGCGTGGCTACTTCCAGCTGCTTCTCGGACAGTGAGCATATGCGTTGACTGAGCTTCGGCACCGACCTCGAGTGTCGAGCGTGATCCCCGTCCTGCGGTATCAAGTCGGGGGGAGCCTGTCAGGAGCTCAGACCATTGAGTTTGACAGAGATATTGGACGGCTTTCCGGTTTCCCGTGCCAGTTCATGACTAGTCGAGAATAGAGGACATTCAGAATGCGGATGTTGTACCAGGCCAGCGCAACGCACCTCCCGCACGAGGCAGACTAGGTCCAGATTGGGCAACGACCTATGTTAATTGTGTTCTTAGCCTCCCCGAAGGGAAACATGTTCTTCATCTCACTGCATTGGTTACCAAAATCCCGACACGATTGCCCGTTTCAAAAACGCCCAGTTGAAAAAATCGACCAATGAATGGAGGAGACAAATAGTTTGGGGCGGCCCTGGAATTAGGCTATTAATAGGCCTCAGGAAATAAGGAAGTTTTCGCAGCTGAGTCCACGAGACACCCGCTATTAGTTGTCTAAAATTCTGCAGCAGATGGAGACCACGCACTAGTAGAGGATAACTTGAAGAAACTTATGATGACCAGAGCTTGACCCAAGCGGATTGAATCGGTCAAATTGACCGATTCATGATTCATTATGGCCATGGCAGCTTCAAGTTGTTTCTCGTGCAATTCACCGGCTAAGGGCTTCAAATAGTGGCGAGTCCCGTAAAGCGGCTTGTTGAGAAGTATTCGATTTGAAACCTCTCTGACTCCTAGTGAATGTACTCGGAGAACTTGAAGAACGAGGCCAGATAACTTGAAGCGACAGCTGAACTGGGAGCCTTCGAGAGCCAGTTTGAGCGAATAATGCAGCGCTTCAGGCACCATGGAAGATGTTGTCAGCGATGCAGATCCCATCTGGCCCAGCTAATGGGACCAAACTCACATCTGACTCGGACGAACACAGACCCCAGGGCCTGTCGCTCTGACACGATTACACCAAGCCTCAGACTCGAGCAAGGCTGAGCTAGCAGTATAATGTGGCCTGCAATCTTGACCCGACTCTCGAGGCCTTTCTGCCTGCTAAGGGCAGAGCTGCGCCGAATCCACGACGCAAAGGAAAAGCCACTAAAAGGGGAATCGTGTTGCAACCCTCATCGTACTGCTTTGCATCAGTTCTACGATGTTGCCTCGAGTACGATGTCCATTATGCGTAGGGAAGCTGCAATTGGCTCGAAGCAATACTCTGGGTCGGGCTGTCGTACGACGTAGACTTGTTATAGAGACGCGCAATATAACCAGGTCGTCGTCAGCTGGTCCGTAGGATATGACCAGGAAGCGTATACTGCAGCGGCAGCCGGGAAAATAGCGGGGACAGGCTCGGAAAGTCGGTGTTGGTGCGTGTAGTCTCCCTTGCTCGCATCCAGTCGACGTCATCGACATTCTGCGGAGTCACTCGTTTCACCTGTTGACTTGCCAATGTGCGATGCATTTTCCTTCAAAGAGCACGATATACAGCAGACGTTCCCTAAAGTAGAAATCTGCTTCGGCCAGTTACTGGAACCGAGAGAAGAGTCAAAAAACCAGAAAACCACAAAAGCAATAACTTGACGGCGCACCGGCTGCCATCCATTCCGAAAAGAAACCATCCTCCTCCTTATACCTCTAGTGTTTGTTACAACCGACAACCGCCATTGTAGGACAGCAGAGGGTTGGCAGAGGGACAAACAAGGGACAGATCACAGTCGGCGAATACAGGAGCTACCGTGGTCACGTGCGATTTCTTTCGATTGCGAAAACGTAGACCATGCTAAGTACTAAAACACGATGTGTCCTCTACCTACCCATACGCATAACACCACAACACAGCTGACATTTTAATAATCTACCTGTGACACCCTCAGTCATCTTTTTCCTTCCTGCCTGCCGGACTGGTGCTCCCATTCCCGTTTGCTCTCGGCGGGGGCGGTACATTGAAGCCACCCGTTGCTGGACCTGGCGTCGGAGGGAAGACACCATATGACGGGGTACCTGGCATGCTGCCCGCGCCAGGGAAGCTTGAGCTGGACACGCTGAGCGGGCGGGGGCTGCCGACGCCTGCGTGACCCCGTCTTGGTGGGCCTGCACTGAGCGGGTTGGGTCCGAACCCGAGATTGGGTGTGCCGGGCTGCGAGCCGGGCATCATCGCTGGAGAATGCGGGGCTGGGGAGTACGGAGAATGTGGAACAGGCGAGTATGGTGATTGCGCCATATACGGCGACGCTGGCGTGGAAAATGTGGCGGACACAGGCGTTCCAGATGGACTCCCATATCCACTCCCAGGAGAGCCCGGCGTGCCTTCCATGACCCAACCGTTTCCTTGCGGTATGAGTCGACCGGATTTGGGGCGGGAACGCAAGGTCGAGCCAGGGAACTTGTTGCGAAGGGAGCTCGAGGAAGTGACAGCGGCGGGGGTGATGTCGTTGGATGAATCACCCCCGGTGACTGCTTCGACTGCAGCAGTTCCGACTTTGATTGCATAACCCATGCAGGTGAAGACACCACCAATGACACCCACACAACTAAGGATGTTATATCAACTAAAAGTGAAGAACAAGACGGAGAAGCACACGCACCGGATGATAAGCTGGATGAACGACGTTGTCCGTTGGTGGATGGTTATGCTCATGGGGTCTAGGTCGAATTTGAAGAAGATTCCGGGTGTGCCGCTGTGGTGGTCCAAGATACGCGTATAATGTGTAACACTGTACTGGTTTGTACGCAATGGGCTGGACCGCGGGGCAATATAGGTTGTGGGCACGACATGGAGGAAGTATTGGTATGCGACGAAGTCTGCATTACAATCAGTTAGTACCCTCTAAGATGACATGTAAACGCACGTTCATGGGTAATCTCAAACGAGTTGTCCAGCGGCTGGACTATAGCAGGGAAGAATGGTCCAAACGAAAACTCGGTGATCACATGGGAGAGATTCATCACTAACACGAACCTATGAGCAGACAAGCAGTCATAGTAAAAAAGACATACGGTTGTGGTCTACATGCTGGTTCGATGCGTATCCATGGCCGAGGGTCGTAATATGCAGATTGGCTTCAAGAAAAAAAGTCAGACGACAACTGAAGAGGATTGGCGTAAAGTAAAACCCACCGGTAACCTTCTTGATTTCCAACTGTCCAGAAACGCGACATGCTTGACCGTCCGGTTCGTGTTTGTAGCTGGGCATGTAGGGCGACGAGTCCCATTGCCACAAGCCTGCAAGTAGACCGCGCGACTTGCGGGACTGGGCGACAGCTTGGCGGACAGAAAGGGCGTCCGAGTGTTCCCTATCACCGCACCAATTAGAGGAGGGGGAATGAAAAGAGGTGTGGGAAGACGAACTTGAGCTTGGTGGCTTGTCCGACATCGAACTTAACGCCGTCTCGGCGGATTCCGCTGCGGGCGTTGCTGAGGAAGAGGCGGTCGCCAACGGCGTCGCGCAAGTCGACACTGATAACTGCCCGGGAAAATAAGCCTTCGAACAAAAGGGAGTCAAAGAGGGAAGTAGAGCTCACATGAGCAGGGCATGGCGACGACCAAATCGACATTGACATTCATGAAGCTGCTGGTCTCGGGATCGACGCTGAACTCGTGGTCGGGCCAGCCAAAGAGGAACTCGCCGACGTCGTTGAGCATGAGCACGAATGTGACGAATGCGACGAAGATGGTGAGGAAACCGCGCGAATCCGACCGCTGCTTGTACGAGCCCGCTACCTTGGGGAAGGCGTCAAACTGCGACATGGCCGGGGGAACGACGGAGTCGAGCGAGGAGAGGAGCGTCGTAGTGGTCTCCCCGTCGAGCGACATCGTCGGGGATGGTGAGGTGGCCGAATGGGAGGAGGTGAAAAGTAGAGGTGGCTTGGATACGTGTCACGTCACGTGAAACGGTAAGCCCCTCCTGGGGGGTTCGTCGGGGAAGCGTCGGAGAACAGGTCTGCGTGGAAGGACGTCCGGGGTCTGACGTAGACGCGAAGGGTTGTGGCTCAGTCAAAGTACTTCAAGTATTAGGATTTATATGTAGTGTCGGCAAATTTTCCGATCAATCGCCTAACTTGAAATAATCTTTTCTCTTCTTCCAACCACATAAAACATGGCCACTCAACAGTTCTCGCAACATTCCGCACAGCGCCTCATTGAAATCACTGCATGCATCACCGCCCTCGAGGCGGAACGCGCGGGAATTCTCAGTCGTGAGCGACTGTCGCTCGGAAATTCCACCATCCCAGCCGAGCTACTCGCAGAAATATTCTTGCACTACGTCGAGGACGAGTCCACCGATGGCCCACTACTTCTAGCCAGCGTAGGCCGCAGATGGCGGGAAGTAGCCCTTGCCAGTCGCCGTTTGTGGACCACGCTCGTGTTACCCAAGAATACGCATAGTCGGCAGTCGATGCGGCAGAAGCTTCTCTTATTTCTCGAGCGCTCTGCCCCTCTCGCAATAAGCGTCAATCTCTGGGACTTCTCGGCACAGGATATCATTGTTCTCCATGCCCACCGAATCAAGAGTCTCAAGTTTTGGGCCCGGCGGGAACAGGAGTTTGAGCCCTTCAATAACGGCCAAGGATTCTCTGCGCTAAAGTGTCTAGAAATCGTATACGACGGTTCATTCCCTGGTCGTCCATTGACCGGGTTCCAAAATGCACCGAGCTTGCGCGAAGTGACACTCACCAATAGACATATGATGTCTCATGTCAATTCACGAGACCTAACAGACTTTATCCAGCTCCCATTCCATCAGTTGGCAATTCTCCAACTATACATCTATCCAATAACTATGAGGTCTTTGGAGAGCATTGCTCAGGGAGCCGCAACCCTGGTGTCCCTGCAATTCGAGAGTCTCCTGCCAGATCATGTTGGCGTTGCGATCACCTTTCCGGTCCTTCGCACACTTGCGGTCGCTTCTCCAACGTGTCTTGCACTCTTCGATCCTCCACTTCTGGAAACCCTCAACATCCTTCATAACTATACCCCTTCCTCCATGCCCCACCTTGACACTTTTATGGAGCGCTCGCTTTTACATCGCTCCATCACGACCTTCCACTGCAAAACCACCTGCCTCGAGCATACCACGAGCCTTCTTCTCATACTGCCCTTCCTCACCACCCTCCACCTCGACTGCTCCCGCTGGGAAGCCACCGCCGAACCCCGTGCAGGACTTGATGAACTGTTTCAATGGCTCACCCTTCCTTCCGGCGACATCCTTCCTCACTTGTCCCGCCTTTTTCTCACCGCCCCTGCCCGTTTCAGAGACGAAGAACAGGTACCCATCGCCCTCCCCGCCCTGACGCGCATGCTCCACGCGCGCCGCCACCAGCCCGGCCGCGTCGGCCAGCTCGCCACCTTCCGCCTCGATGGTAACTCGCACAGGACGTATTTTGACCGCGGGCAGGCTTTGGGCAGGCTCGCGGAGATGCGCCAGAATGGCCTCGAGGTGGACTTCCAGAATATGCCGCTGTATGGCGACGGGCTCGACAGGCACACCGTGTGTCCTTTCTTTTTTACTAGCTCGAGGTTTTCATGGACTCTTATAGGTAAACGAAATTATGGTGGTTTGAGACAGCCACGAGTATAAGCAAGGACATTGTCTCTCCCTAGCAAGGACGTTGATCAATGATTTAAGTAAACAAGGGGTTTCGGAATGGGGTACGCGAATCGGCCGCAGCACTGCCGCAGCGGCCGCTGCAGCGGCACTTTGCACAGCCACGGTGAGCGGCAACTCAAGTCTGCTTTTCCTATCCATTACATCCTTGTACTGGGCTACATTTTGAAGAGAATGATTCAATTTACACTTGTATTAACAGTTAGAATAGAGTACAGTTGTGTTAAAGCCTTACAAAAATGCCGCATCAAAATTGGTACAAACAATGGTAAACAGCCGCGACGCGGCCCCAGCGGCACTTTGCAGCGGTAGATGGTGACTGCCGCTGCCGCTGCTGACATAAGACTTGCAGCGGCAGTGCAGCGGCAGTCAAGCAGCAGTGCAGCGGCACAGCAGCGGTTGTGCAGCAGCGGTACTGCAGCGGCAGTGTGCTGCTGGGGTGTCACTGTAAGGGCAACCCCGGAGGCCTGAGATCAAGGTCCTAGCAGGGGAGGATCCAAAGGCGTGAACATTGGTAAGCGAATACAAATGAAGCTGACCTAGCAGGGGAGGATCCAAAGAGAAGAAACTCTAAGGGTCCGCCTGCTAGGTAGCTGACTATATACTGCTTGTCCGTAGCTGCCGCTGTCGGGCACAGAAGGCTTGGGCAGCGTCGCAGGCGAGGTCCCAGGGCGACCGTCGGGAGGGCGTTGACGGATCGGTGATTGTGCGGGTGAGATGGAGGGCCGGACCGGAGTCGGAACCGGAATCGGACCGGAGTCGGGCGCGTCTCCGGGCCGAAAGGGAGGTTCCCCTGACATCACCCCCCCCCCTTTGAATGCGGCGTCTCGACGCATAGACCGGAACGGAATCGAGTCGAAGGTCGCGGAGGCGATGTGTCGTGGCTTGCCAGGGTACTTACGATAGAACTCCGCAATTTTCTCCGGGGCGAAGACGCGGTCGAAGCGGACCCACTGGTCGTGCGATGCGTCGTAGCCTTTCCATCTGACGAAGTAGTTCAGCCGTTTATACCTCACCCTTGCGTCCAGGATTTCCTCTACTTCCCACTCCGGGACTCAGTCCTCGAGGTCCGGAGGGGGCTGGTCGTAGCCGGGGCGTCCGTCGAAGGGGTCGTCCTGGGCGAGCTCGAGCTTGACGACGGGGAAGACCGGGTGGAGCTTCGAGTAGCGCGGAGGGAGGTCGAGCTTGTAGGCACCTTTGCTGATCTCCGCGACTATCTTGAACGGTCCGAGGCGGCGATGGGAGAACTTTTCCGAGGGGCGAGTCGTCCTGATGTCAGAGGCATCCAGCCAAACACGGTCGCCAACCTTAAACTCCGGAGCAGAGTGCGTCTCCGGTCGTAGTAGCGTTTGTACTCCTCTTTGGCCTTTGTGAGCGCAGCTTTGGCTTCAGCAACACCAGTGGCAATCCGGTCGCGGAACTCGTTCACTGACTCCATGGCGGAACGGACTCCGGGTTTGAAGCCCATGCGCGGGAGCCGTCCCGTGTCCGTCATGAAGGGGACCTGCTGCGTGGAGGAGTGAACGTGGTTGTTGTAGGCGAACTCCGCGGCCGGAATCAGCTCATCCCAGTCGTCCTGCTGGTAGTTGGTGAAGATCCGCAAGTACTGCTCCAGCTCCTGGTTGACGCGCTCTGTCTGACCGTCTGTCTGCGGGTGGTACGCGGTGGACGTGGCGGGCTTGATGCCGATTAGACGCCAAAGTTCTCGGGTGAAGTCCGCGATGAACTGCGAGCCGCGGTCGGAGACGTACTTCTCCGGAGTCCCATGGTGCCGCCAGACATTCCGGTAGTAGAGGCGGGCTGCCCCTACTGCATCGACCGTCGTATGACACTCTGAGAAGTGGGCGCGCTTTCCGAGGGTGTCAACGACGACCATGATCGCGTCGTACCCATGGGCTTCGGGAAGCTCTACGATGAAGTCGACGGAGACGGTATGCCAGCATTCCGGGGGCGTTTCCGTGGGGTGCAGTTCTCCGTGGGGCAGTCTCCGGAGTGCCTTGGTGTGACAGCACAAGTCACAGGTCGCAACATACCGGCCGATATGGCGGGACATCTGAGGCCACCAGTAGTTCCGGGAGACCAACTCCAGGGTCTTGAAACGACCTGCGTGTCCGGCGACTCGGGTGTCATGGCAGAGCTCGATGATGCGTCTCCGGAGGTCCTTGTCCTTTGGTACGACGATCTTTCCTCGGAAATGGAGAAGACCGCCGGAGACGGCCCATTCGTCAGAACGTGAGGAGGCGGGGGCCTCGAGCTTGACCTTGAACCTTAAGAAGTTGCCGGGCCGCTAGTGCGACGGGCTCCTCCAGGTCAGGCTCACCGGAGAGGGCATCACGGATGTCACGGAGGAGTTCAGAGCCGGGACCGGAACGGAAACGCCCTCGAGTGCGCGGACGTGGAAGAGTTCAGGCCGCAGAAGGACGACATCGGAGTTGTCGGAATCGACTCCGTGGTCGGGTCTCCGGGAGAGGGCGTCAGGCCGACCCATATCGCGGCCAGGCTTGTGGTGCAGCGTGAAGTCGAACCGGGAGAGGTACAGAGACCACCGGGCCTGTCTCCGGTTGAGGTGCTGCGTCTTCCTGAAGTACTCCAAATTCTTATGGTCAGTCCAAATCTCGACAGGGTGCGTGGCGCCCTCGAGGAAGTGTCTATACTCCTCGAGTGCGCGGATGATCGCGAGCATCTCCTTGTCGTGGATTTCGTGAGTTGCGCTGGACATCATTTAAGCTTTTGGAATAGAATGCTACAGGGTGCCACTTCCCGTCCGGGGCGGATTGTGAAAGGACCGCCCCGTCGCATAATCAGAGCTGTCCGCCTCGAGTCGGAAAGGCCGTGTGTCGTCCGGAATCGCCAGGACCGGTTCCGAGGTGACCGCGTCCTTGATCGCTTGGAACGCAGAGGCCTCCGCGTCGCCCCAAGTCCATTGCTGGTCCTTCTTGGTGAGCACGAAAAGAGGGCGCGCAAGGGTCGAGAAGTCCCGAATGAACCTGCGGTAGAAATTAGCGAACCTAAGGAACTGCTGAATGTCCTTCTTGTTTTCCGGAGTCGGCCAAGCGGAGACGCCTGCGACCTTGACGGGGTCCATTTCGACATGGTTGTGGGAGATGATGACTCCGAGGTACTCGATTGACGATTTTTCAAAGTCGCACTTCTCCGCTCGAAGGTACAACTTGTGCTCCCGGAGTCGCCGTAAGACCTCCTGGACAAT